TTGGCCGTGACCGCATAAGCGATCTGATTTCTTGTAAGGTGAGCGATGTGCATAAAGATAAAGTGAAATCCCTTGGGCAGAAATGTTGCTTGTCTTCAGCTGCTGATACCCGTGCATTAGGGGAACAAAAATAACTGGGCAGCGCACCGACTGCCGGTGCGAAGGTGCGTTTTTGCACCAGTTCCCCCGCAGGTTTTTGTCGTTAGCAGCACTGTTTTTTTCCTGCAAGTGCTACTAACCAGAGACTTGGGATTGGCTACCATGACTGTCAGAAATTATTACAATGATTCCCAATCCATGTTTAAAAAAATTCAGCTCTCTGGATGCCTAGATTGCGGAGTTGCGTCAAATTTCACGTGTTCGTGCGCGAAGGGGAAGTGAACGTTGTTTTCATGTGTTGCTGCCCAAAAACGTTCTTGGGCCATTCTCAGAAAATTTCAGTGCTATAGCCGCTTCGGTTGCGGAGCTATGTCAAATTTTGCGTGTTGATACACGAGGTGTATGTGAGATATGAAAAGGACGTGAAAGTTGTTCCGCGTCGCGGTTATCCAGACGTCACCACGTCCAGAAAGTTCCGACCCTTTTTGCAAAACTGTCCACCTGAAATTTTCAGATGTCCGGACGTGAGATGCGGAGGGGCTGAAATACTCAGTGTACTTTCTTGGGCACATTAATGGATGATAAGCAAAGTTACGAAATTTCACTATTCTGCAACTTCTTGGTTAGCTTAGATCTCGAGTTGACACGGTGCCAATTTAAATTTTGGCGCATGCGTACCTGGAACCTAGGGTTGCTTTAAAATCCTTGGGCTGAACTTAGCCAGGGAAAAATGTGAATTTTCAGCCTTTTACCTCAGACTGTTCCCGAAATACTTTCCCTCTAAGAAAGTTCCACCTTTCCGTGTGTGAGAAACACATGGATGTGGATGTCCATTTTTGGGATAAGGATAGGTGTATAAATACAAAAACGCATAAAAAGTGCCTGGGCGTTCGCCGAAAAGGTGGCTCACTTGTACTGAGCAGCTTTTGAATGCCGAATGAAGACATGTACCTTGATATCGACTTGGCGGTGCCAAGCGCGTGCGAAGCATCTGTTCGGACGATTTTATTGCTACGGACTTCAGTACAAATGTGTGTTATCGATGAAATCGTCCGAGCATACACTGCCGTGTGGCAGGTGACTGACTCATCGGGCAGACTTATTACTAGTCGAAGAAATTTGTATAATATATACCCTCTGCTTAGAATCGTTTCTGAAAGAATTATATACCGCTCCGTGCATTCGAGTAGTGGGCCGACACAACGAGGAAATGACCTTCCTGTTGTTTTAATACATCACGGGTTCCATTCAGCTGTTTGTTTCATCTTTTCATTATCTGTCATCTTTATCGTGTGTTTGTCGTGCAGATTTGCATCAGTAGTCGTATATTCACCAGTTCGTGCCGAACAATCTTTCGTTGAATCGTACGTGTCATCTGTGATGCGGGCAACGTTTCTGCAGTAGAATCTTATAAGCAGACTTATGAAGAACAGATACGCATCACTAGTTGACTGATGCAGATAAACATCGATCAACCTCAATTTTCCGCAAAAATTATTGAGCATAACGTCGAGTAGCAAATGATAATAATTGGCCAACGCATGAGCTGCCCGTGCGAAGATACGTTTTTTGGATAGTCCCCCGCAGTTTTTCTCGCTACTGGCATCGGTGTTTTCGTTAAATGCCTCGAGCTAAACAAATTAAGACCGGCAGCCAGAGCTGTCAGGAAACATCCCCTTAAAATTTCAACTTTCTAGCTTTTCTGTCCACTGAGTTAGTGACTTACTGGAAAAGTTAGTGACTCTGTCCAGTTAGTGACTCTGTCCACTGAGTTAGCGACTTACTCGCTGGTCTGAAGACTGGTTTGAAGCTCATTAAGATTTATGTGGGCAGGAAACGTCCCCGTAAAATTTCAGCTTTTCTGATCCCTGAGTCATCAACTTACCTGAAAAAAAAATTTGGCAGGCCGTATGCGGATACCACGTGCACCCGAAGTCTGGTTTTAAGCCCAGTGAGACTTAGGTTAACGGGGAATATCCTCTTAAAAATACAGTCCTTTAGCTTTGCAAATTCCCAGGTTATCAACTTACTCGAAAAAAAATTTCACGGTTCCGTACGCAGGCATCACGCTTACTCGGGAGCTGAGTTTGAGCACTTTGATACCTACTTGGGCGGGGAACATCCCCGTAAGGTTTCAGCTTTCTAGCTTCCCAGATTCCCGAATTACCAACCTGCCCGTAAAAAACTTTGGCGGGCTCTTACGTGGGAACCACGCGGGTGATGGCTCCCATTTTGGAGACTGGGGCCCATACGTACATGTAGATCAAGTTCTCAAAGTTTCAGCCCTGTAGCTTTTGTAGGTCTTGAGATCAAAAACCGTGACAGATGCACACACAGACAACTCCTCGTCAGTATGCGTTTTCTGCATTGCATAGCTGCAATAACTGGCCGACGCATGGGCTGCTCGTGCGAAGATGCGTTTTTTCCAGATTTTTGTCGCTTACGGTACTGGTTTTTCTGGCAGATGCTTCTAGCTGAAAGAATTTCAGACTGGCCGCCAGAACTGTCAGGAAACATCTCTTCAA